GGTTGCAGCTTCACTGCCGTGCGCCGGCGGGGAGGGGCGTTGCACCCCCAAGCCTTTGCCTTAAGCGCCGCGTTTCTCGCTGCAAAGGTTAGTAGAAGGGATTTGGGAGTCTTTGCAGCCCCAGGCTGAGGAGTCTGGGCTGGAGGACACTTGCTGGTCGTAGCGCCACACAGGGTTTGAATTACACTTGGGGTCTGCCAGAAAAATTGGGGCTCCTCATCGCCATGCCCTAAGAAAATTGAAGTCCCCCCGGTCATGATTTTCAAATCTTATGGGTGTGGGAAGGGTCTCTTCTGGGGGGGCTCAGCCCTCCAAGACTCCCCCATAATTTGAATCCTGATGGTGTTTGAATGATGGAGTGTTGCTTCATCAGGTGGATTCAGAACTGACTTGGCTGATTTGACCTGGAATGCAAAATTATTTTCTGGACAAAAATAAAATGTCTAAGTAGATGCTTCCTAAGGTGAGAATAGTTGTTCCAGAAGAGCAATGGAGAGTGATATCTAGTAATGGAAAATGGCTAGAGGGTTGGGCCAGTCAGTTGTGCTCTGTTGGGGCGGAGGTGTCGGAAACGTCCAGCTTTGTGTGCAGAAGTCTCCAGCTGCTAACGCCTGTGTAGCTTCTCTTGCTTGGTTTCCACAGCAACACATCACACCTAGGATGAAGTCAGGCCTTAGGGGGTTAAGCAAGACTGAGCTGTGAGGAGGGGTTTATTTGTAAAAGCAAATTGCTTACCTTCTGGGGGAACCTGGTGCTTAGATTTCCTCCTTACCAGTTCAATTAACAGCAGGTATAGTTGGGTATATAAAGGAAAAATCTCTCTCCAGGCCCATTTAATGGTAGGTAGCTCGGAGACCACTCAGCCTGTTCTGGTTAATATAATAGGATAAGGAAGTATTGAGTGACTTTTGCACATTAAATGCCAATTCCCTTTCTAGTCTACTCCTGTGACAACTCTTGTCAAGCATAACTGCCCCTAAAGTCCTTTCAGGTGGTGAAAATAGTGTACTAAACTAGAGCCCCTGCTCTGTTCTCTCTTCCTTGCTTTTTATAGAGGTAGTTAGCTGTGGTAGGAATGAATAGTGATGCCCTTGCTTTCCTCCCCTCTTAAATTCTCTCTCTTCCCCCCCCCCTCCCAAAATACAACCAAACAAACAAAAAAAAAACCCTTGCATTGGAAATGAGCTGTGAACCATTGTCTTGCAGTGGAACACTGAATTATTCCTCCACTATTTATGCTTATCTCTGATTTTGAGTTACTTTGGGTTCTGCTCGGGGCTGGGAAAGTTTAGTGTTCAGGGTGAACAAGCACACGCCTTAAGAATGAGACATGTCATAACAAACTCCAGCTGTCATGGAGGAGCCCCCCAGTTAATCTGTTCTAATTCAAGAACCAATTTTGGTTGGGGGTTTTTTTGCGCTGCTGTCATAAGGGATCATTTATACTAACCACAAATAGTTTAATGAGTTGATGCAAGGGTGGAGTTCTCAGCATGACTACAAGATGTGCTTGTGCAGTGATCTCATGCTTGCCTCTGTGCATAAACTCTTTCTGGGAACAATACGTAGAAGTAGATGCCTCGTAAAGTGAGATTAATTGTGCCAAAAGAGCAATAGAAGATGATATCTACTAATGGAAAGCAAGTAGTTAAGGGATGCTGACTAATAAGCTGGAATAGTTTACATCCTGTTTCAGTTGTCTGTTTAGATTCACTGTTATAAAAACTATTATCTGCGCGTGCATGCAAACATCTTGCTTTTTTTTTTAATCTTTGTGAGTCTGTTAGGATCCCCCTGAATAATCATAACTGAAATGTTCCTGAAATGGGTCAATTTATGTTGGGGGGAAAAAAAAAAAGAAAGAAAAAAGAGGAGGAAGGAAGAAATAAAAAGGCTCCCTTGTTCCATGAACGTGCGTAAAACCATCTTCATCTCATTCAATTTCATATACACGAACTCATTAGAATTTAATGTCAGGCAAAAGGCCTTATTATTTGGGAGGTGACACATGGCAGATTGCTAATTCAAGGATTAGCCTGTATTGTGCTGTCAGTGTATTACTATTGTTGCTTTAAAAGATCTTTAAGCAGCAGGGTTGCTGGATATGATTAAGAACTATTTATTTAGAGATGTCAAGCAGGAACTGAAGGAGGAAAAAATATATAGGATTTAGTTATCTTTGTAAATTTGTTAGTACTTGCTACCCTGTAGTGTAGACACAGGCCCTCCCCCTCTGAATCTCAGTCCCACCCCCTCAGTCTGACCTCTGGCTCCTGCACTGTAGACCCTTCCTAGCCCCTAACCTCCTCTAGTTCTGACACACCCTAGCTTCCCCCTTCCCCCACCCAGGAAATGGTCCTGCTGCTTATAAGCAGCCGCTAATGTATATTGTCTATAGAGCTCTAGCAGCCAGTTAACTGGTCCTATTCATGCATGTGTATGTTTGACAGACTTCAAGTAAAAATGCACTGGTGTTGATTATTTTGCTTCTAAACTATATTTAATCATACCTCTTGATATCTGCTAGCAACAGCCCTCTACCCAAGATGTTCTTGTTTGCTCAACACAATGTGGGCATAATTTGCACTACTAATACTGCCTGAGTTTATATTCCACATGACAGGACATTACCAAGAACTAAGAAAACAACGCAACTTTGTTAATTATTTTAGAAAAACATCTGAACGTCAGTAGCTTCCCCTAAACACATTGTGTCTTCTAAATTACTGAGTTGTAAAGACATATTTTTTTATGATTACTCTGGATTTTGCAACATTCAGAAAATCCAAGCTGGAAAGCCTCCTGGCTGAGTATTATTGCATAGAGAATCCAAATTTAAATGCGTTTAGTCCTTGTACGTGCAGAGTACATTACCATTGTGAGCCACAGTCAGCTTGATCCAAAGCATGCTGCTCCAGTGCTGATGTAATTGCTCTTCAGTTTGCCCAAGCTGGAGAACAGTGAGCACTGATCAGAGACTTGTCAGTTTTAATCTTGTATGTTGAATTTCAGGTCAAGTTCAGATTGCTTGGGTTCAAGAACTGTGAGTTGCCACAGAAAGCTACTCTAAGGCTTCTTTTGGATGAAATGCAAGTGAGAGCTGCAGGGAGGAGAGTTACATCTGAAATAGGCATCAACCTCTTGTAGAAATGTAGTTGCCTCTGCCTAGTGGGTTGTCCAGTCTCTTGTATTGCTGATCTTACGTAGGCTTGAGCTCCTGCTTGAGAGGGCCTGTGGGTGGGTAGGAGAGTAATACTGATGTACTTAAGTTAGAAAAGAGGAGTAGAGGTTGGATGGAAAAGAAAGGTGAAACGGATGCATGGAAGAAGTTAGACAACATGACAACAAGAAGTGAAATGAAAGAAAAGCTCTTTAGTCCAAACACATTAGACTAATACCAGTGGAATTCATCAAACTTTCAGTAACTGTGCTTACTAAAAATCTAGATTAGTCATCTTACTGATTAAAACTTGATATAACCTGTCTGGAGGACCCTGGTAGCAGCCCTGCAGCATTACATTTTAAAATGGTGCATGACTACAGAAATGGTATACAGTTTTATTCTTAATCTTAGGGCTTGTAGTTTTGCAGTGGTAGGGTGGGGACCCAGCTACTAGACTTAATATTGGGACTAGCCAGGTGGCAGACAGACATTTTAGCACTTAATATCTGTTTTACTCTGCTGAGAAATGCTAGCACATCTTTTTTCCCTGTATTGTTAGACTTAATCTCTAACTCTGATTCTAGTCTCCAGGATTCTGAGAATGCCCACGTAAAACACCCACACGTGCTCTTAATGATTTAGGCAGGCAGACATTTTTTAAATCAACATTAACAGGAGTGCAGAAAACAAAAGCCTTCCAGAGTTGAGATTTTAATAAAAACAAAATGGGAAAAATATTACACATAAAGTAATAATTTATTATGCAAATTGTTCCATTGACTTAACTGGGGCTACCACAGAGCAAGGCCAGGCCTGCCAGCTTTTGCAGTGCAGATAATTTATACCACAAAAGATTAAGCTTATACTGGCACAACTGTGCTTTTGCTGGTGTAGCTTATTCCAGGCTCCTGAATTTATATTGTGCAGCTGCCTCAGCTCTAGGTACTTTTGCTGGCAAAGGTGTGCCAGGCACAAATGCCTCTTGACTGGCAACTTTATGCTAAGATTGCTTTGGAAGTTCTGGTCCAAGATAGCCTGGCAACATTTGGACTTGAATCACTTTGGTCATTGTGTCACTCAAGATTATCAGAATGAGAGAAAGATAGACTACAGCCTTTTGGCTGGTTATTCCAACAAAGAACCATCTTGGTATGGAAACTATTAAAGGGCAAAATATTTACATGCTTGTTTTAACCAGGAAAGCTTCTTGTATTTCTAGCATGTCACTTAAATATAACAACATTTGAACCTTAAAAGCTTTGTGCTTAAAGTTTTTCAAGAAATAGAAATCTTCACAATTCATCATAGTCTTCCCTAATGGCGTGTCTCAGACCCAAACTTGAAGCTTAAACATGCAGGAAGGAGACGTTTATTATAAATGTCCAGTGCTTGGGTCGTAAGGACCCCATTTCTGACTGGGTTTGGCAGGCCATGCTTCAGTTCAGATCACTGCTATGCAGCCTTTTTTTATTGTGTGCCAAACTCTTAAAGATTAGAATTTGAAAGTCAGTTATAGTATGAAATAAAGATAATTAGTTGGTGTCAGCATACAATGTTGCACTTAACTAGAAGTGTCTTGCTGGCAGAGCTGCTGTTGGATAGGTCTATAGTTGACTAGTACATAGCTGTCATGAGACCAACATCCACATTGTCAATGCTGTATTACATTAGCCATGTTTACACTTGCAGGAGTGCCATGTACTGAATGGCAGGGGTGTCATGTCCTGGACATTACAAATCAACGTGCTGCTTAGGCTTAGCTTAGACAAAGGTCATCAAACTTGCCACAGGCCAGATTTTGACAGCAAGGACTCCTCCCAGGCTTCATCCACAGGGCCAGAAGGAACTGTGATAGGACTTCATTCTGTCATTGGCACTGCCAATGGTCATGTCCACTGAGGTCCAGGAACCCCAAATTCTCTGG